GAGAGAGAGAGAGAGAGAGAGAGAGAGAGAGAGAGAGAGAGAGAGAGAGAGATGAAGAAAAAAAACCCTCCCAGATACTACCCTACAACCACTGGCTTATATTATAATTCGATACAAGACAAAAGACTATTACTCACCGTGAAGTCTATTGCTGTAACCAGTCGTAATCGACACCCTCCTCGGATGTAGTCGAGTAATGAATATTGCATATCAGTTCTGAGGACGCCAAAAGAACGATTAACAACTGGATGAAGGTAAACACAATGTTTACTCCCCAATTTTGGCGAACAAATATTCACACCGCAGAAATCGTTTATTGGCTTTAGACCACTAGCGATGTACAATCCACGCAGTGCAAGAAAAGAAAGAGTCCAGAGGTGAGAGCAGTTTTAATTCATTAAGAGAGCGTTTTCTAGTCTTAGGGCAGCGCTGGGTGACGCCTTTTTTAAATCAAGGTGTTCTTACGTCCCCATCAACACAATTAACTAAATTAGATCATTTATAGTGAGGTCAAAAATTCGTGGCGCAACTTATCCTCAAATATCTCTTTAATGGGCGATGCTTTGCACAGCCGTTTGGAGCAACCAGTCTTAACTTAATTATATTTGTCCATTGAATAAATCTTAAAAAAAATTCTTCCTAATTTTTTGAATGAAGAAATACTATAAATGATCTTCGTCACTGGGGAAAAGCGGATTCTTCACAGCACTTCCTGCTTCACACACACATTTTGTATACGCATATGGCCAACGTCACAGCTCACCAATGGCACTTTTTAATGCTAAACTTGTTACAAGAAATTAATTTTATAGCCTACTTTAAATTACAGTGAAAAGATTTTTTTGTACCAATGGTTCTCAAACCATGCGTTCAATAAGTATAGTGTCGCGATTAGAAAAAACATGACAGACTTGCTTTTAAAAGCAATATTGCTCCAGCTGCTTTAAACCTTTTAAAACCTAAAGAAACTACCCACTTGGATTTTAAAAATTAGTATTTATTAAGGAATACAGATACCACGTTTAAAAAAAAAATCTAATCTGTTAAGACAAATTGATACAGGTCACTGTGCAAAAGTTGTAGACTTTCTTCAATAGTTGAGGAAATATTCGACAATAAGTTGCGCCACGAATTTTATACCGCACTATAAAAAATTTATTGAGAGGTGGGCTTCTGACTCTTTATGTCAGTATGTCAGGGCCAACCTGGGCTGAGAGGGATACACCATTCCAAAAGAAGGACCCATAATGTACTCAATACAAACAAATTTCATCCCTCTCGAGAACATAACTCGGGTCTCCTGCTTGCTACAGCGAAGCGCCTTACCACTACAGCACAAACACAGGTAAATTACAAAGTAGTTACCCACCATTTTGTTTGTCATGTATTCAAGAACACTTTAGTCTTCTGTCTCGTGTTGTCTTTTATTTTATTTTTTGATCCTGTGTCCTTTTATCTATTCATTTATTTTTTTTATTTTTTTTTGGGAGCCAGAAGTTAGTTACGTTTACTACTTGATATGTGTCAAAGATGATGACGATAATTATGAGGATGACGATGTAATCATGGAAACTGGACTGAACCTCAATTACTGACTGACGGTAGTCAAATGCTTGACTTATAGTAAGCTAAGTTAGTTGAGAAACTTGTTATTACTAGATCACGATTTTGGGAGAAAAAAACTATCCAATATTTTTTGTTTTGTTTTGTTATGTTGTGTGTGTGTGTTTGTGTGTGTGTGTGTGTGTGTGTGTGTGA